CTCAGCCATCTTTAAACATAAAAACCCGATAAAAAAAAAAAAGGGACAATAACAAAATGTTTTATTATAATCAATATTTGACATATTTTTTTGTGAAACAATAATCGTTTACAATTTCTTAAAATATAAAAATTCGATAATAAAATAAAAACAATATAATAAATAAACTCGCGCAATAGTTTGGATAATAATATTGGCTAAGTGTATCATGAACTAGATTCATTAACTCAATCATATATTTATAGAAATATAACTTAAAATAGTCAAAATTATCCATTAGATAAAAACTCTTGTCAAATAATTAAAGATTATTTGAGGAGTAAAGTGGCATCATGGCTAAGTTACTGATATTTTGCCACATTAAGCCTATTGAGTCAAATATTATATGGATAAAATTTTAATATGATTAAATTATTAAAACTTTCGTAATTGAATATTTAATTAAAAAACAACACTTTAAACCTTTAATAAATAAACAAAAGTTAATGGATTAATGCTCACTCTATTTAAAAGTTAAATTGAGTAATATACTCTGTCTATTAAAATTTGTTATTAAATATGCCTACTTAGAAGGAGTTTTCGGAGTTCTAAATTGTGTGTCCTTGTTGGAATTAAAGAAGAAAACACTCACATATTAAATCCGACTATGAATAGTTGAAAAGTATTTTTGGTGAATTAAGCCATTAAATTTTTAAAGATGTTGGTGTGATTTTTTGCACCAGCGAGAAGTACGTAAATCTTGTGAGGAGATCTATGCAAGGGTTTATAGTAAACCGGTAATTCAGTGTTGGACTAATGCTAAGATGATAAATAAATATTAAGAACATAGAGTTTTTAAACTGGTTTGGATGCAAGGTGCAAATTCTACATCTACTATTATTTTATTACTTTTTTTTGTGTATTTTACAAGTACAAGCGACCCCAATTCTAGGAACAGATGAGGCGGTTTTTTTAGCCAAAATAATAGTGTTTATAAAGAGAAGTATATCCTCCCATTAGGGTTTGACGTCCCTTTATATATTATTACCTTGGTGGACTTACTGGTGAAATAACCCTTATAGAGAGCAACACGTGACCTCGGGTGGACTTGCACATGAAGTAACCCTCATGAAGTGACACGCGACCTCACTAACATAAATTGATGCTTACCAATTAATTGACCTTTGGTAAACTTACAAGTGAAGTAGCCCTCTAGTGGAGTGACATGTGGTTTGGTAACAATGCATCCTTAGGACATGTAGCGTGAATCCGTGTAGGTGGATTTACCACATAACAAAAGAACAATATCATAGACATTCGCTCCCAATTCGTTAATCGGACTCCCTTCCTTAATTTCAAAATATAATTCTATCGAATACAATCATGCATCAAATCTAGTATAGAATATAATCCAGTCATCTGTATTACATTTCCATTCCATCCAAAAACATTAACATAGTCCAATACCACCTGTCTAACACACCTTACCCTTTGTTTTTTATTTCGCTGCCTATGAAAAGAGTAAACAACTTTTTCACACCTGAAAGATGGCGTAATGATACTTTTCCACCCTCAAACTTTTAACATACTACTTTAATACTCAAAGCACAATTCTGTTAGTAAGTTTCATTGTAAAGAAGGGTAGGATGGTCAAAAGTCCATTATAAATAAGAGCAAGATGGTCACAAGAGCGATTTTGGCTGCCAGAATCTGGCTTGAACAGAGAGAGGCACATGTTAGCAAGGGGTGGCACATGTTGTTAGCAAGGGGTGACACATGTTGTTAGCAAGGGGCAATGCACATTAGCAACATTGTAGCCGGTGGTTTTTGCCTTTTTCCAGCCTATTTTGACGTCTAAAGTCACTTCCAAGACCACTTACAGACTCCTCACAACTTTTTCTACAAACCCACATCTTCTTTTCCCTCCATATCTCCCACTTTCACTAGTTTTTGCACATTTTTCTTCCCTTAATCTCCGCTTCCAAACCCAATTCTAGCCAACTCTGGCCACCAACATCCAATCTACCACTGCCAAAAGATTCACTAACCTCTCTACTACAAAAGCCCCAAAAGCCAAACCATGCTCACTCACCATTTGACGGAGGCCAACCCTAGGGTTTCTTGTTATGTTTGGTGTGTTGTTGAGAGTTTTCCTAGCCATTTTCACCTTTTCCCTAGGTTATTCAAACTTTTTCAACTTGGTGCACACCAAGTGTTTGTGAAATTGCTCCAACCATGCCAATACACGCCCCAGCACAGGCCATTGGAAAGAGAAGAGAAGGAAGAGTAAAGGGTTTTTTCGTCTTTATAGTAAATATTACTATTTTTAATGGAAATTGTTAACGAAATATAATATTTGGGTATTAAAATGGTATTTTAAAATTTTGAAGATGGGAAAATGTCATTGCTCCATTTTTTGGGTAAGAAACAATTGTTTACCCCTTGTAAAAACTATTAGATTCTTTACCATATATCGCCTTATTTTATTTAATAAATGGGTATTTTTTTAGTATCTAAAATACTAATGTACAAAGGTTGAATAATTTATCTTATCTTAAACATACCAAATACTATGGATTAGCCAAACAAACTAATATTCTTTGAATAATGCTAGCCTTACTCCCCCTTCTTACTCCTTTCTCTTACTCACTCATGTTAATCTCCCTTCTTACTCCCTTCTCTCTCTTCTTACACTCACCTACCACATGAGTGAGTAAGAGAAAGGAGTAAGAAGGGAGAGTAAGGCTAACATTACTCATATTCTTTAGTTATGACTAGAATAAGGTCGAGATAATGATTAATAATACCTACACTGGACTAAATTCATACCTACCTCTAATATTTTATATCTCCACTACAAAGGTATCCATAACTTATAATATAAATGAAAATGTCAATTAGATATGGACAAAATTTTATTTTATCCAACAACTAGTTTTTGGCATTTTAAATCTATTTATAAACCCCATATATGTGAAGTCTCACGAAGTTTGTTAACAGGTCAATTTTTTATTATTTTTTTAGTTTTAAATAATATTTAACTATAAAAAATACCATAAAGTTTCTCTAAAATAATTTTGTTATGCATAAAAATTATTACTTCAAATAAATTATCAAAAATTAAACAATAACTATATCTGTTGGAAATATTTTAAGAGATTAACACACAAATATGAGATAATATTGTTGGTACACACCTTTATAATTTTGCAAATGATTCCATTGAAATTGTAATTATTTTAGCGACAAAATATTATTACTCTGTAAAAATATTTCTATATTGCAAATCTCAAACAAAAACTAAATTCTTAAATGTTTGTGTACCTTAAAAATAATAGATACAAACATTTTCAAACAACTCTTGATTATCATGGAGACAAAGTTTGGACGCAAAAGATTTTAGGAGGACAACAAAAATATGATTAGACATCACTAAATCATATTATCATGGGTGTAACACATTAATCTTAGGGCGTTTGGAGTATATAATGTTTTATTATAAAAGATGTTATATTAACGGAAAGATGGATCACCTTGAAGATTATTGAGAATGTTTATGAAATGTATTTGGTTGGTTCGAATAAATTGTTGAATAATATATTTGTTTGGAAGGATAAATAAGTGGGTATATTATATAGATTACTAAATTGTCTTCCCTTTTAAATATTAGTATAATATTGTTTTTATTATTATTTTTTGAATAATTTCTTTTAGCCCCTACATTTGAAATTTTGCTAAAATACTTCAGTTATATAAAACTTTAATTTATAGCAAAATCACCTCCATCCAACCCAAGCCACTGCCGACAGCCAGCCACCACCACCGACAATCGATGGAATGTCGCATGATTGGTCGTATATGGCCGACTGTGCGCCGACATAGCCATTTCCAGACATGGATCACAAATCCATGGTCGTTTCACGGTCAGATCTATGGCCATTTCACGGCCAAAGGTGTGCCATGAAACTATCACAGATCTGGTCGAAAAAGGCCTTACCGGCGCATGACTAGCCAGATCCCAATGGTTGTGCACCATTACAGTGACTGACACTGACCGCGGCGACGGTAAGTAACAGCTGATGGTGGTCTTAGGTGGCTGAGAGTATTTTGTTAACTTTTAAACTTTTTTGTGGTTGGGGTATTTTAGCTAATTTCTCAAATGTCGGGGAGTTGGGTAATTGTTATTTGGTAGACATTTGAGGGCAATTGTGTCCAAAATAATATTTAATTAAGGGCAAAATATATATAAAAAATCATATTACTCGATAATCTTTTAATAACACCCTTGGGGGAGGGTATCAGATTACTCCCAATATTACCAACAGTAAACACTATTTGTAATAAAAGATACCCATAATATTTTATTATTTGTAAACTAAACACCAGAATCTTACAAAATAAACGAAGATTATCCCCGTTATTTTATATGCCCCCGATATAAATGCACTCTTAATGGCTAATATAATATATTTTAAGTGAGAAATCAAAATTTTCATTTTAACACGTATTATTTTATAACATAGTAATATAAACTTTAATGTAATATAGCCCTTTAATTGATACATTATTTATTGGTTTTTGTCAAATATTTACTAAATTAACTTTTTATATATACTCATTTATTCGATTTATGTTACACCAATTTATATATAACAAATATTATATTATTTTACATAATATTATTATGTATAATTAGTTAGCATATTATTTGAAATAAAAAGTAGGGGTTGTTGGTGACATTATTCTAACTTAATATATAAGTTGTGGTTACTTTTAAGAAAGTGAGGAAGAAATGAACTCAACTCAACTCAACTCAACACAACACAATAGTGGAAGTGGAATTTGTTCAAGGTTGTCTGCCCCACTTCCACTAAAAGCACGTGTCCTCCGTTGAGCATGACTAGATTCATCATGGATTCATGATGTTGCTGCGGTGAAAACAAAGCTGAGAAAACAAAAACGACGTCGGTTTTTGTAAAGAAAAAGGGACAAAAAAAAAAAAAAAAAAAAAAAAAAAAGAGAGAGAGAGAGGAAAAAAAAAAAAGATAACTTGAAAGAAGAAACCGATTCCCGTTCCGGCTTTCTTTTGGCTAAATAGATGGCCATAGGGCCTTTCCAGTTCACATTCTTTCGCTACAACACCGCCAACAGACTCCTCTCTCTTGTTGAACCTTCGACAAACATATCAACTACACTCTCAACAAAAACTATTTCTCCTTCGTCTCTGTCGGCTCATATCGTCTCACCTCTTCTTATTCTCCTTCGATTCGCCTCCAGCGCGTCCCTCTTACACGCGCGACAGCTACACCACCACCAGCGCTCGAGGCAGGTTATCACAACGCAGGACACGCTGGCGCAGAAGATCGGAAAATCGATTCGCCGCCCTGGCGCACCCTCCAAGTCTAGGGTTTACTCCGATATCAATGTGGTTCGCCCAAAGGAGTACTGGGACTACGAGTCCCTCACCGTCCAGTGGGGGTAATATTGTCCTTTCATAAACTATGATTTACCGTTTTCAATTTTTTTAGGGTTTTTTTTGGTCCAGCTCTCCTTACTTTGAAATACTTGGTTTTAGTCGCGTGTGTATACGTAAACTGATGCTCGATTAGTCGATTAAGTGATAGTAGGACTAGTCTCGGCTGCGTGGTTGTTTTAGACTTTTAATATAAAAAATTCTGTGGTTCAGTTTTAATTTTTGTGTTCTGGTTATTTGTCACGTGATTTTGCTGGTTTAATAGGGAGCAAGATGATTATGAGGTAGTAAGGAAGGTTGGGAGAGGGAAATATAGTGAGGTGTTTGAGGGCGTGCACTGCACCGATAACGAGAAGTGTATTATTAAGATTCTTAAGCCTGTTAAGAAGAAGAAGGTGAGTCCAGGCTCGCTAATTTAGTTTTGTTAATTCTATGATTTATTCTTCATTTGCTTTTGTGGTTTTACATTTGCTTATATTGCTTGAATTGTTTAAAATCACAAAGTTCACTGGAAGTTATTGTGATATTAGCTAATTTTTTGTATTTTGTAGTCATGAGTCAGATTGATAGGTTCCTAATTAGCTGATCAATACCGATATACTTTGTGTTGCATGGTTAAGTTTACGGAATGACTTTTTGGAGAACTTACCTTGTTTTTTTCTGCTAATTGCAGATTAAGAGGGAGATTAAAATACTGCAGAATCTTTGTGGCGGGCCAAATATTATCAAGTTGCTTGATATTGTTAGAGATCAGCAATCAAAGACCCCAAGTCTTATATTTGAATATGTGAATAATACAGATTTTAAAGTGCTTTATCCAACACTCTCAGACTTTGATATTCGATATTACATCTATGAACTTCTAAAGGCAAGTGAAGTGAAGCACTTATTTCTCAATGGATAAGTAATGTGTTGAGAAGTGAATACTTTTGGTCATTTATACTTATTGAGTTGATTTTTTATTTTATTTTATTTTTTTCATTATGTACCCGTCCATTTGAATACGGAATTTTCAGATTAGAAGCTGGTGTGTTAGTGCTTATTCATAGTTTTATATTTATTCTTACTAGCTATGAAGGAATTACTTTTTGTACATTGTCTGGAATAAAACGTTTTATGATACCAAGTGCGGAAGGAAGAGTGTTGTGTATATGTATGCTTAAAAGTGCAACAGCTGTCTTCATATGTCGTTTGAATCGTATAATAAAAGAAAACAATAGTTTTGTTTTGTTACTGCAGTAACGGATGTGTAGTGACTAGTGACAATTAACTTCAATTGTAGAAGATTGATTATGGAATATGGTAAAGGGTGAAGTATAGGATGGTGTTTCGTGATGTTGATTCCAAAAGAGAACTTTGTTGTTTAGCAAGTTAGTCCCGTGACTGTGGAAATATTTTAGTCCTTAATAATGCTCCAGTTTTCTGATAGTTGTTGTCATTTGAACTTTTAGGAAGAAACATAAGAAGCTGTCTGTCTTTTATTGACACATGATTATTTTCAGCCATGGAAATATATAATGACCCTTGTCTTTGATGTCAATCTGGACAGGGACATCTAATTAATGAGCTGAGGAATCTAAGAAATTAGGGAGCTAATATAGCTTTGTTGATTGGGAAAAGTTTGGAGGATGGACCTCAAATCATTTTGATTTTCTGGCTGCATATTTGTTGGATTTGTAGTTATCTTTTACATCCTATATGAGAGTAATTGTAAAATTTAAAGTAATTTTTTTAAAGATATATGGCAGCTGATAGATGACCTATATAAATGAAGGGTTTTGTTTGTGCTTATATGTGTGCCATGCTATATACATATTTGTATAATATCCATGCACGTACATGCATGTAAATTTAGAGAAGGATGTTTTAGGAATCTTGATGTTATACTTTTTTATTTGTCGGTTTTACTCTTGGCATCATTCTTGTTTTTGGTTATTGCATGTTCATTTTAGATCCATCGGTTTTTAGGTTCTCTTTTAATGGAAAACCTTGCTAAGACTTTCCTATGTTGGGGTTGATATTCATGGGCTGTTCATAATATTTAGAGGTTTTATGTCATTCCCATGCAATGTTCTAGGATAATTTGTTACTAGTCCAGTTTCATGGATTTAGGATTTCTGTTATCCTAGGGTTTGAAAAAAGAGTTTGCAATTTGATTGTATCTAATATCTTTAGGTAAGGAGAAGCTTAATGTGTAGAGACTATTTTACTTGCAGTTGTAAGTGTGTGCATTAACATTGATCAGAAGTGGAATTAAAATGCAATCAGACTATTGGGTAAGTAGGTTTAGTTTTCTTTTTCTCATTTTTATGGAAAGACTGAGAAATGAAAATTTTTATGCAAATGGTTCTAAGAATGATTACCTCTGTTGGTAAGTAATTGTTGTTTTCTCCATGCATTTTATGGCTGTTGTCATTCTATATTTTATCCTTTTCCATGTTGGTCTCATTTATTATGTTGTGCACAATACAACTGTTACCTTCTCTCTTTCCATCTAAACCCCATGAACCATTGAAGAAATTGTAAAGTTCGAAGACCTCCCTTGATTTATTTGTTTCTGCATTCAATTTAGAAGCCATCCTTTGATTCAATTATTTGATCTGTTCTGGTGCCTGCACATCTAAGTTGTGGTTTGGATGACCCTTGTTGATTGGTTAACATGTCTGAGTTGCTTATTAGTTACAAAAAATTATTGCTTTAATATATATATTATCTAAGAGGCAGTTGGTATTCCCTCCAATTTAATTCTTCTGCATTCAGATTTAGCTTTCTTCTTTTGTGTTTCTGTTGATTGTTTGGAATTTTGAACTTTTGACACGTAAAATTTTCCTTTTTTGGTTTTTGGGGCCCTAGTAGCAGTGTTTTAGAGATGCCCCTTTTAATATATATATTTATTTGGAGGATAGGAGTGCCTTTGGGACAGTTGAGGGAACACAAACTTTAATAAAGCAAAAGGTTTGTTGTTTCATTTGGACATTAGTCTTTGAGGGTCTTAATCCTTCCCAGTATTCTTACTTGAACTATTACTTGATACTGGTGTATGCTATTGCTACTGTTGAAGTTTAAATTTGTGAGTTAGTTGTATGCCTTGTCTTAGGTTTATGTTGTTCTGTGGGTGGTTATTAAATATTTGAATTGATTTCCTTCTAGTGTTATCTTTGATCCTTTATAAATTTATTGACTCTTCAATTACTGTGAATCTTAATCTGTAGGCGTTGGATTATTGCCACTCACAAGGTATTATGCATCGAGATGTGAAGCCTCATAATGTCATGATTGATCATGAGCAGAGGAAACTTCGTCTGATAGATTGGGGACTTGCTGAGTTCTACCATCCTGGCAAAGAATACAATGTTCGTGTTGCTTCAAGGTTTGTTTCTTTTTTTCTTTTTCTTTTTTTTTTTTCAAATTCTTTTGGCTTTTAATTTCCTGTTCTGTCTTTTTGATTCTGAAATTGTCATATTTTGATTCATTTATTTCTTTTTTCATTGATTGTGCATCTTTAATTAGACCATTCGAGAATCTAAAATTTAACTGATAATTGTGTTTAGCATGGTCTCTTTAGGACTATTGTTACTGGCCAAATGATATTTTGGCCACCAACCTATCATGAAAGGACAATTTCCCCCCTAGTTTTTGAAACACCCAAAGTTACCGTCAATGTTGATTTGATTTTACCCAAAGTTACCCCCAAAATTAGTCTCCGTCCATCCCTATTTCAATTTGACTAGCTTTGACTGCTCAGATTTTGATTTTACCCTTATTATCAATTGTTTAAAGAATAAATGATTTTTCAAATTAATTTATCAAAAACCATACATTAATATCTAACAAAATCATAAAAAATCCCAAATAAACTCCCATTAATTAAAACTTTTAAAACCCATTAATTTTCAATTAATCAAAATCTTAGTCTAATGACCAATTAATGAAAACAAATAAAATTCATTTTAACTAATTAAAAAAAAAAATTGTCCCTTCCACCTTCATTAAAATATCTAATCCAATCCATCCACACCTATAAATCAACTTTTTCAAGTCAAGAATTCACAATCAAGAAAAATTTATGTTTTTCAGGAATAAATTAAAGCACAAATCCATACATCTAAGAAAAGAAAAAAGAAAAAGAAGTATAAGAAGATGGAGGAGAAAACTCAATAGATGGTTAAGGAGGGCCAAACATGGCCTGGCAGCGAGGCCCAGCAGTGACATGGCCAATTGAAGCCAGGCACATCATCGTCCAGCCACAAATGTTGCAGTTTCTTTTGCTTTTTTTTTTTTTCCCCCTTATTTTTGCTCTTTTCAATAAATCAACTTGATCTATTCAGTCAAGTCTGATTAAAGCACTCCAACCAACCCAACAAAACAAGCACTTTTAGTTTTGAATGTGTGAGGTAAGGAACCTTGAAGGAGATGGATATTAGGGTTAGCACCTTTCTTTGTTTATATATGTTGGAGAAATGATGAGGATTGAAAGATAATGTCTAAAATTGAAGTCTGGGGGTGACTTTTGGTGCTTTTGAAACTAAGGGAGGAAAATTGTCCTTTCATGATAGATTGGGGGTAATAATGTCATTTGACCTTTGTTAATCGGGAATGTGTTAGAAACCCCAAACTTCACCTGCAAAAGATCACTCACAAGCAACAACCCAGAACACTCAAAAACTCCAATAGTCAACAACCCGCAAATTCCAGTCACACCAGAACAATTTAATCACTTCAAAACAATTAAAGAACACAAGCAATATTGAATAACCTCAATTTATTTATAGAATAGCAACTCTGTAACAACACTACTCCAATAAAAGTTCATCTATAACTACAATTCAGCATAACAGAAGATAAACATAAACCAAACCATTTAAGATAAAATTGCTAAGAACAAAGAAACCCGTTGGACTTCGAGGGCCAGCACCTCCCCAACCCCTTTCCCTTTTTATTATTTTCGAATCATCCTAGACAGATCCCTCACATTCTCTTTTATTCTTTGTACTCTCATTATGACCGAATTCAACTCCCCATCAATCATCACTTGCCACTTGTCACTCTCACATAAACTTAATACCACCCACACACTCACGCATATAGCCCGACAATTAGTCCCTCATCCCTTTTTTTACACCTTTATTTTTCCTCCCATACACTAATGTGTTGTTGGTTTGAACATTACACCCTGCACCCCCAACGAGAGCGACCTTGTCCTCAAGGTGAGATGGAAACTAAAGATTGATGGTGGAGAACTCTTCCCAAGTATTTTCAAAAGCCGGTAGCCCTTTCCATTTGATCAATACCTCCCAAGTACCATTTAGCAACTTTCTTTTCTTTAACACTTCCTCTGGTTCAATAGCTAAAATAAAATCCTCATCAAGGGCCTTTGGAAGCGATTGGACATTCAGGAGTGGGAAAGTAGTCTTCTTAAGTGGGGACACGTGGAACATGTTGTGAATCCGAGCAATGGACGCTGCAGTCCGTAAGCTACTGAACCAATTTTTTCAATAATAAAAAAGGGGCCATATAATCTCGGACTCAATTTCTCATTGTAACGACGAGCCAAGGAACGAAGGCGGTAAGGCTGTAGCTTGAGATAAACTGAATCCCCCCTTCAAAGTTGATTTCTCTCCGTTTGGCATCCGCAAAGTGCTTCATTTGGTTTTGAGCTTTGAGCAAATTCTCTTTTAGTTCTTGAAGGATAGTGTTTCGGTCATGCAGTTGTTGGTTCACTTCCTCAACCGAGGAGGCATGTACAGAATGTTTAAGGATGATTGGGGGGTCTCTACCATAAAGTGCTTTGAAGGGTGTCATGCCAGTTGAGTTGCTGAACGTAGTATTAAACCAAAATTCTGCCTAAGGAATCCATTTAGGCCACTGCCGAGGCTAAGTACTAACAAAGCAACGATGGTATGTTTCCAAATAGCAGTTTACTACTTCCGATTGACCATCTGTTTGAGGGTGATAGGCTGAACTCATTCGAAGTTGTGTTCCAGACTGCTTGAACATCTACCCCCAAAAATGACTAATAAACACTCGATCTCGATCTGAGACAATCGAACGAGGAAATCCATGTAACCTGACAATCTCTTTAATGAATAAGCTTGCGACATTCTGGCTGTATATGAATGCTTCAAAGTGAGAAAATGGCTATACTTGGTCAAACGGTCCACAACAACCAGGATTGTGTCAACGTGAAAGGCCTTTGGTAATCTCGTGATGAAATCCATCGATAAGTCTTCCCCCACTTGATTTGGAATGGGTAGCAGTTGTAATAGGCCAGCCAGACTCAAAGCTTGATATTTACTCTTTTGGCAAACCTCACATGCTTCGACAAATGTTTGGATATCTTTCTTCATACCCTCCCAATACATTATGTTTGCCACGCGTTTGTAAGTGCGAAAAAAACCTGAATGTCCCCCAATGGGAGATGAGTGAAACTCTTGTAATAAAGTCTAAATATGATTACCAATGCGTGGCACGACCGACCTGTCATGGTACATCAATTGGTTCCCTACGAGTTTGAAAGGCAATCGGCTAGTTGGGTTAACAATTAGCGCTTGAATTATTTTCCTTAACTTGGCATCCTAGTGGACATCGTTTTCCAGATCCTCTATTCCTACAAAACAACCCGTTGATAAAGCATTAAGTTCCTTGACCTCAAGCTTCCTAGAAAGTGCGTCAACCACCTTATTCTCTTGACTAGGTTTATACTGAATGTCAAAACAAAGCCCCATCAATTTCATCACCCATTTTTGTTGGTCTTCACTCAATAGTCGTTGTTCATTTAGGAAGTATAAACTCCTCTGGTCTGTTTTAATCACAAAGTGTCCGCCTATTAAATAGTGTCGCCATTTCTGGATTGCCATAACCACGGCCATAAGTTCCCTCTCATAGACAGACTGAAGTCTGGACTGCAATGATAACCCTTTACTCAAGAATGCCAATGGCTTGCCCTCTTGCATCAGAATAGCCCCTAAAGCATATCCTGAAGCATCTGTCTCAGTCACAAATTCCTTGGAAAAATTTGGCATTGCCAAAACTGGTACTGAAGTCATGATTTGCTTCAATTCTTCGAATGCCCTCTATGCTTCACTGTTCCTTTAAATGCGTCTTTCTTTGATAGTGCAATCAAAGGAGTCACAATTTTACCATAACCACTGACAAACCGCCGATAATACCCTGTCAAGTCAAGGAATCCCTAGAGAGCTCTTAAATCTTTTGGAACTGACCAGTGAAGAATATTGTCAATTTTTGAAGAGTTAACTGCTATTCCTTTCGACGATATAATGTGCCCTAGATACTCGAGTTTTTGCTGCCCAAAGAAACTTTTTTTGTGGTTGGTAACTAACTGATTCTCTTGAAGTGTCTGTAGGGTGACCTTTAGGTGTTGCATGTGCTCTTCCATGGCCTTACTGTACACGAGAATGTCATTAAAAAAAACTAGAATAAACTTCCTCAAATTTGGTAAAAGATATCATTCATTGGAGCTTGGAAAGTTGTCGGAGTGTTGGTTAATCCAAAGGGCATGACTAGGAATTCATAATGCTCTTCATGTGTCCTAAAAGTTGTCTTAGGGGTGTCTTCTTCTCTCACTCTGATTTGGTGGTACCCCGATTTCAAATCCAATTTGGAGAAGACTGTAGCCTCACCCAATTCATCAAATAACTCATCCACCACAGGAATTGGAAATTTGTTTGGAACGGTCAATTTGTTTAAAGCTCGATAGTCGGCACAAAACCTCCATCCCCCTTCTTTCTTCTTGACAAGTAATACTGGACTAGAAAATGGGCTCACACTCAGTTTGATAATGCTTGAAGCTAACATTTCTCCCACAATTCACTCGATCTCATTTTTTTGGTAGTAGGGATAATGGTAAGGTCACTTGTTTGGTGGTTGGGCGTGGCGTAAGAGCCTAATGGCGTGTTCATGATTTCTAGTGGGAGGTAATCCAACTAAAGGGTTAAATACTGACTGAAACTGCTCCAATACTTCAAGCAACCTATTGTCCATGTCGTTCCCACCATCTGGCTGTTTTTGCAAAGTGCCAAATTCCACTAAATACTCCTACCCTTCTTTCTGTATTGTCTTCAACATAGCTTTCAAGGATACCAATGTCTTCCTCAACGCCGAGTCACCAAAGAGTTTCATAGTTTTGCCCTTATCCTTAAATTTCATTACTTGGGTCTTCCAATCTATAGTTGTTTCCCCCAATGTCTCTAACCAGGCCATTCCTAACACCACATCCGAGCTATTCATGTGGAATGGGAAAAAATCCAACACAACCGAGACTCCCTGAAGATCAATACAAACCCCTTGGCACTCACCCTCGCTTCTCACCCGATAACCATTCCCTACTCTTACTCCGAATGATTGCGTTCTAGTGATAGGCACCTTCAATTTCTCAGTTACCTCCCTACCAATAAAATTATGAGACGCCCCACTATCAATCAAAATAATTAATTTTGTACCCTGAATCTTAACCTTTAATTTCATGGTTCGTGGTCCGTTAATTCCCACCACGGAGCTGAGTGATAGTTTGATGTCATTCTGGGCAGCCTCCTCGGACTCTTCGTTTGTTTTTCCCACCCTAACAGGCTCGGTTTCTTCCTCCTCTTCATCCACAAGGATGACTTGAAACTGTCTTTCTCCGCAACGGTGACCAGGGAAAAACTTTGGTCACACCTATAGCGCAAACCTCTCTCTCTTTTCTTCTGAATCTCATTCCCAGTCGTGTTTAAATGGGAACTCTCTTCGAATAGAAAGACTTTGCTCTAAGGTTGATTCACCTTGGAGCTGCTACCTCTTTGACTATTGACTGGATTAACACTTGGAAATCGTTCCCCCAATGATTGATTAATTGATGGATTAGAAGTCACACTCTTCTGTTGATCGTGAGGGATGCTTGTTTTGGGTGTGTTTGCGAATGAGGGCTGGTGGTTTTGCGATCTAAATCCATTGTTATTGAATCCTAATTGGCGACCCGACCCAAGCCCAAAAGAACTAAAGCTTCTGTTTATCCCAGTAAACCCACTAGTTCGTGAACACTTATTCAGCCCACTCTTAAGTTCATCTAAAGCCCAATTCTTTTCTTCAATCTTTTGGGCTAACTCTATCAGTTAGACTAAAGTTTCAGGCCTGCCCAGTCTCACCTCAGCTTTGATCTTGGGCTTAAGCCCATTAATAAAAGTAGCCCATAAAATGTCTTCCCTAACCTCATGCAATGGAGCAGAGGTTGCCTCAAACTTTCGATGATACTTCTCAACAGTTCCCATTTGTTTAATCGCCATTAAAGCTTCGTAAGGACCTTCCTCTTGAGACCCACTGAACCTATGGAGAAGGGCGAGTTTGAAAGTGGCCCAAGAGTTCATCGGAGCTTGAACTTCCATCCATTGAAACCAGTTCACCGCGTCACCTTCCATGCACAAGCAACCGTGGTTAGTCGCTCCTTCTCCTCTATGATTCGATGCACACTGAATTATCTCTCAATCTTAAATAGCCAACCATACAAATCTCCTGAAAAAAGCGGTACATCCAGTTTCCGGCCACCATACTTTGGTCTTCCTTGTCCTTGATTATCTTGATTGTCATTCCCCCCTCGTTGGTTTAGATCATCCCCACCATGTAATTCAATCGACTCACTCCCTTCTCCTCTTTTGGCTTCTTCTCCATCTTTTCGTCTCATCCACGCCTGCATCTCCACTAGACAATCTCTAATCGTACCCAATTCTCTCTCAATATTATCAACCTTGTTCTCCATTCTAGTCCCAGCCATAACCTTGCTCTGATACCACTTTGTTAGAAACCCCAAACTTCACCTGCAAAATATCACTCACAAGCAACAACCTAGAACACTTGAAAACTCCAATAGTCAACAACCCACAAATTCCAGTCACACCAAAACAGTTTAATCACTTCAAAACAATCAAAGAACAAAAGCAATACTGAATAACCTCAATTTATATATAGAATGGCATCTCTGTAACAACACTAGTCCAATAACAGTTCATCTACAACTACAATTCAGCATAACAGAAGATAAACATAAACCAAACCATTTAAGATAAATTTGCTAAGAACAAAGCAACCCGCTGGACTTCGATCCCCAACCCCAACCCCTTTCCCTTTTTACTATTTTCGAATCATCCTAGACAGATCCCTCACATTCTCTTTTATTCTTCGTACTCTCTTACTATAATCGAATTCAGCTCCCCATCAATCATCACTTGCCACTTGTCACTCTCTCATAAACCTAATACCACCCACACACTCATGCATACAGCCTGACAATTAGTCCCTCGTCCCTTTTTTACACCTTTATTTTTCCTCCCATACACTAATGTGTTGTTGGTCTCATTAGAATGCTTGTGAACCGGCTAATTTATTGTTAATAGCTAATTGGTTGGACACCTGTGGATAATTTTGTTGAAAATTGAAAATAATAGATTAAATGTTGTGTATGGTTTAGTTTATTTGAGACTTTGGTTTCAGTTTTGGGTATTATGACATATATTGGGCTTTCTCCTCTCCACTGCATGTGATACTGTGAAATTTAGGTATAGATATGGAGAGAACATGCTTGTAAATGATGTAAGAAAAATATATTATTCAGCATGCTCAGCAAAATACTTGAGTTCAGAGAAGCTTACAAAAAGAATTTTTAGGTGGAAAAATCCAATAATGTAGCATAAGAAATATTTCTAAAACAGCAGAACAAGGTCAAATTGGTGAGGCTAGAGGAACTATCTTGTGGTCCTACATAACAATGTAAAAACTATAGTACTAAAGAGTTGGGTTTTAATATCAATTGATGGAAGACCAAAATGCTAAAATAGCAAGGGAGGAAATAGTGGAGAAGGATATGAGAGACAATAACAAATAAACATATAAGAGGGAGTTTTTTGGTGGTGGTGTGTAGGGTACAAATGTTTTTTTTACCTTATGAAGACAATGTTGTTGGCCCCGGGGGGGCGTCGTTGGGTTGGTGGTGTTTAGTAAATTCTGCTGCTTGCTATCCCATTTTTGCTGAGTGTTTTCTGCTTAATTTATGTGATAATAACATGTTCTTTCAGGGGCTTAGCCTGAAGCAAATCCATAATGGACTTGTTTTTATTCATTTGTGCTAATGAGTTGTACTAATTACACTTTTAGAAGATTTAATTTGAAGAACTTACCCTTCTATTTGAATACATTATTTTTTATCAGTGTCTTCTCAGCCGCCGTATTTTCTAGAAGTTTTCACTTTTAGAATTTTAACCATCAAACTTCACTATAAATTCAATGCTATTTATCTTTTGGTCAGATACTTTAAAGGTCCTGAGCTTCTTGTTGATTTGCAAGACTATGATTACTCATTAGACCTGTGGAGCCTTGGTTGTATGTTTGCTGGAATGGTGAGTATTTCTTTCCCATTTTTCTAGATACTGGTGGGCTGCGTTGTTATTATCGTAGGTTTTAGGCTTTCATATTTCATACCATGGCACTTTGTTTATAGATTCTCCTCATCTGCATTTGTGGTGTGTATGCAAGTGGGCTTGGACATCTTTTGGTTGGCCTTCTTCTGTCAAGTCCGAGCCCAAAAGTTGCTGCAGATAATATGGTTATTAACCATCAGATAATGAAACATGTTTATATGCGGACCTTATTTTTAGTGGTTGCAGAAGATTATACTTCCAAAATTTAGCATTTTATTACATTAATGGGGAAGAATATCTTGGTCTTGCCAAAGATGAGTGACTTGATCTGCTTGCATATTCATCCATGGGTGACAGATGGCGAGGAGGATCGAAATTTGATAATACACCAAGGTTTGTGATGCTTATTATTGAGGCTTGTTTTGTACAGATATTTCGTAAGGAGCCATTCTTCTATGGCCATGATAATTATGATCAGTTGGTCAAAATTGCTAAGGTATGTGGTGTTATGTGGAATAGCTAGATAAATGTTATCAGTAACAAATCAATGACAGATTTTTGTTCCATTTATACATACTGAATGGTAGATTTTTTTCTAGAGAAGGTTATCTAGAAGGATTACATTAAAATTCTTTTTCCTTTTTTTAGCTCAAAATTTTAAATAAATGTGTTGTAATGGTTTCATGCGTGTGTGCCTAGAATTGGAAATGTAACTCCTTATTTTGTCGTCGTGTGGCAGGTACTTGGGACCGACGAATTAAATGCATATTTGAATAAGTACCGAATAGAATTAGACCCACATCTTGCAGCCCTTGTAGGAAGGTTGGTCGATCACAGACTTCATAGTTCTCTCAATCAATTCACTTTACTGCTATTGTAGCCTGCCATTTCAGCTCAACTTAAACATCACTTTCCCTTGTTACAGGCATAGCCGGAAACCATGGTCAAAGTTTATGAATGTTGAAAATCAACATTTGGCAGTTCCTGAGGTAGAATTCTTAGTCTTTTGTTATCCAGAATTAGTACTTCCTGCTGTTTTAAAATATATTTTAATGCATGTAAATTGTTTTGGAAGGCTGTTGATTTCCTTGACAAGTTGTTGCGATATGACCACCAAGAAAGGCCAACTGCAAAAGAAGCGATGGTAAATTCATAATCTTTCTGCCTTTATCAAAGAACATCTACACCATGGCTTTATCGTTTTAATCCGACCGACTTAATTGGCAAGAAACTGTTTATATGTTTATTTGATTTCGATAATATGTTGTAAGTAAAACCACCTTCCTGATGCAGGCCCATCCTTATTTCTACCCGATCAGAAATGCAGAAAGCAGCAGAACTCGTGCCTAGTTTATCGAATTCCAGCAGTTGTTAAAAAGATTGTCATGTTTGTTGTTGGTGACCTTATTCTAGTCTGATTGAACCTCAGTAGGGGTTTTTTTTTTTTTTTTTTTTCCCTGCTGTCACAAAACCTCCTACCACTTTTTTTGTTTTTTTTCCTTTTTTAATTTGGTTTTCTTGAATGTTCAGTTTCACTTTTTGATTGCTGTTAATTTTGTGAGCTAACTTGTGGATGAATTATTGATCTGATTTCAGGCTAATTTTGTCTGGATGTTGGTATTCTTCATTTTCCCCTTGGTAAATGGAAAATTTGCAATATCAATCTCATTTCTCTGCCATTTCTTACTTTGTCAAATGATCAACCCTAAGAAGGCAGGCTGTTGAAAATTTTAAACTTTTTTACCACTTAAAATGATAAGGCAAAACATAACTTTTGTGGTTGTTTCTGTTAATAAACTGCACCAGAATCCTTTGGTTTGTTAAAGGTTAACTCACAGCCTCTGCATTTTTGTTTCAAGTTATGCTAAACTTTGGTTTGTTAAAGGTTAACTCACAGCCCCTGCATTTTTGTTTCAAGTCATGCTAAACTATTGTCACATAGGAAAGTGGTATTTCTCATAAAATAGTTGAAGGGGTCGTAGCAACAATTATTTTTTTCAAATTTTCTGAATACAGGATGTGATGTGTTACTGTTGACTGTTAGAATCGTACAACGAATTCCGGATTCTGGATTTAGTGGTTTTAATGGATGTCGATTACTTGTCTGGTTGGGGCCAATAATAAGCTGAAACGTAATATTGAGTTGTATCATGTATGCGGGGCAGTAACAGTGTGTAGTCCATTTCTGTTGTACCAATATTGACTTCAAATTTTTTGAGTAAAACTGAACCGACAATGGAAATTACTTTATTATTCCATAAAAAGGCAACAATAAATAAAGAAGTAAATGACATAAATATATTATTCAAAACAACGTTAGGGATTCTAAATATTTTATTATGCGGAAATTTGAAATAATAGTTGAATAAGTTAGCATGCTTTTTGGTCATTCTTGTTTCAGTTACATTTGGTTTTGTGTTTTTCACGTTGGGCAGACACGAGTAGCATGCCATGAAGGAGCGTTAAAACCTCAATATCTGGTGGAAAATTCAAAGTAACTGAAGCTTTTGAATGGAAATCTGCGTTTGTCGTCTACCTCTCTGATGCATGAAAAAAAACCCAATGCCTTCCCTAAATTCTGCTGGTTGTAAGTGGTAACTGCCTGCCCATCATCAATTCTCACTGACATACGTTACATTATGTTGTTGAATGCATGCAATTAATAGATTGTTTGCATTTTTTTTTTTGTTTTAAATAATAGGACATTTAAATGAAACAAAAAATCTTTCTTATTAGATTTCACGTTATGAGACACGCAATCGAAGATTATGACCTAACAAACGTTAAAATACAACTATCTTAGCCATTGCCTCGGGATTTGGTTTTGACTGTTGACAAGGAACCAAAAAGAAACTAGCCAAAATTTCCTCCCTTTGTCTGCCCTTGTTTGTTTCTCCTCTTTTTATGTGGCCATAAATTGTTAACTGTTTCAATTGCTCAATAATTTCAAATTGTTATTTATATATAAAAAAAAAAAAAAAAAAAAAACTGATGATGTCACTATCAACGCTTTATTCTCAGTTGTTTTAATGATTTAAATTTAGTTAATTAATTTACCTTGGAATGAAAGGATAGAATTGAGATTCTTTATTGGAAAGATTTTTCTTCTTTTGTTTGACAAATAATGTGCTGTGTATTTGATTAAATTAAAATGCGGAAAGTACAAGTGTACCAAATTCCATTTACTGTTTAAGGTCAAATTGAGAGACAGAGTTGGCCCATAGAAAGACAAATATCCCCCTCCACTCATTTGAAAAGGCACTGTCAACTTTGTCTAGACTTAGACCCCTACTTTTATTTTTTCCTGTAATCTCATACCCAAAATTATAATATTATTAATATTATACTATGTACTATCTAATCTTAACTCCAACACAAATCCACCAACTTAAGGGATGTGTCCCTACAAATTAAGGGTACCAAAAATTGATTAGGTTGACGCTCTTAGAGCGTTTAAATGTAAATGAAACCAATGGGAGGAGAAGCGTGGTTACACGCATTAGAGTAGAGAGTAGGGATGTCATAGTTAAAATAATAATTGGAGACAAAGTTAAGACATAGGAATCTTGAAGGTCATCTTTGGTTAAGAGATATTTGGCATTCAAGGGACCATCCACCTCAATTACACACTTCTTTCTTTTTCTTATTTATTTATATTAATCTCATTTTACTTCTTCAATTTGAATGAATGATTAAATAACAAAGATACACGTATAAACCTTTCTCTTATAAATGATATATGATAGTTTGTAATTGATCATACTTATTTTTTAATAGATAAAACTTATTATGAATTGTGATATGAAGTTTATGATACAAAATTAATGATAAATGTTAGTATAGTGTTACCCATGAATAAATTACCATATGCATGCAATGCAACGCAACGCAAAGTTGGTATATACAAATGCAATGCATGTGTTTGGAGCGATGGGTATGGGGATGGGATGGCCTTGCATGCATCCATGCATTTTGTCTTATCCTTAATAGAGCCCCATGCTTTCTGTTCTAAACGTCAGTGTAGTATATTACCCATGATTAAATTACCATATGCATTGCATAAAGATAATGGAGACGATAATAGTGATGTTGATGGGACGTGGCAGGGCTTCTGAATTTGTTCTTATCCTTAATAGAGTCCCATGCTTTCTGTTTCAGTACTTTTTGTCTTGTTTTGCAAGAATCATACTCCATCACTCAATAGGGCATTCTCCTACTTTTTCATTTTACACCTCTTCTTACCCTTTTTCTACTCATCTCATAAGTCATATCATAATACATCAATGATCAATCAACCCTAAGCTTTATCATAAAGGGAAATTTACAGTTGTCTCACTGGACCCTATTAGTAATGTCATTTTCATTTTCATTAACCTTTACTTTTTATTCCTTTCCATCACTGCAAATTTTGAATGGGTTTACATTTTGGTCTCTAATATTTGAAGAATTTGATTGATAAAAATGTCGATGCAAAGTGCAAACAGAGCTAGGACATGATGGAACCAAAGCTACTTGGAAAGTCCCACCACCACCACTAACTTGGCATTACATGAATATTAAGTAAAAATAAGTGGAAAAAAAAAATACGCACATAAATAAATATTATCTAATATTAATAAAAGATGAGAGGGTCGTGATGAGAAATAGTCAAATGTATGTTATCCACGTGTGATCGGATAAAATGAAGATGAAGTTGAAGATGAAGATGATGGGATGGATGGATGGATGGATGGATGATAATAAGAGGAATGGATAGGTAATGGGCAAATAGGGAGGGTCTCAATGAGGAGACATGGTGCATAATCTTGGGGATTCGGCGGAGCCAGGGCCGCACCCTGGTGTCGGTCTCTTAGCATACAAAACGCATAACACTCTTAGCTAAAATACAATTTGAATAAGAAATGACAGCGCCTCTCATCACCCTCAACTCTCCCAAATACGTCCCCCCCAGCTCTGTAAAAACATCAAAATCCACCCTATCTCTGATCTTTCCATGTCTCCACCCTCTTCCACAAACTCCCAACATTCTAAGCTGTACCACACTTAAACAAATGTGGGTGATTCTGTCATCTCAGAACTGGTACCTTTAATTGCTTCCCACATTATTATTAATTACTACTCGGGAGATTAAACTAATAAGTTAATCATATATATAGTAGGTGATTAATTTGTAGGTAATCGTAGTGGTTAATTAGCAGGTCAAGGTAGCTAGCTAGCTCTAGCTTTTTATTTTCTCTTATGTCACCGACCCTGAAAACATGTAACGAGAAGGGAACAAGGATCTGTTCATGGTCGATGATTTGGCTTAAAATATTTCCATTTTCGATACCTTTTTAGACCAAAAAATTTATATGGTCAATTGATTTGAAGGTCTCGATGTCAAAGAACCTAGGTGGAGCCTGTCCAAGTCATCACCAACTTTGTATTCTTTAGACAAGAAGCACATAGAATCAAACAATCATCAACAAAAAAGGGCAGTTCACTAATCACATATCATTCCTCGAGCCACACCATTTCTTTTTCTTTTATTGGGTCTAGTCAACTACAGCTTGATGATCAAACCCTAAACTTTCCAACTGTCTTAATCAATTTTTAATCACTCCATTATCAACCTTGTTATATCTTCGTTTCCATTAAACAAGACAATGAGCAAGATGATAGTGAACATGTTGCCTAGTTGTTAATTTGTTTAGTAATTGATGTTGGCTGCTCTTAATCTCTACCCTAATTTGGTGATGTTATGATATCCAATACTCTTCCTATTGTTTCGCACCGGCCCTACAAAGCTAGTTGTGCTTCGCAACCATTAGTAATTAGAATATCATGGTGAAAAAGGAGCTGTACGGCTCATATATAATTAGATTACAGAAAAGGGAACAAGATCTCTTCCATTATCGTTTCGAGGCAATTGTCTTGGCATTTGTCTCTAACTGTTTCTTTCTCCAATTATTTTTTCATCTAGGTGAAACATGTTAACATGATACGTGTCCAGGACCCATGTTGCCCTTTGACTGGAAAATTATTTTTATTCGACAAATTTACTATATATAATTATATATATAACCTAAGCTAGTCTTGGTATTAGGGTTTATATATCTATTCAAACGACGTAGTGGTCCTGCTTTCACCCTAATTATTTTTTCCCAATGTTTAACAGTTGATTGGCCAAATTAGAACAACTCATGTTGTTGATGGGTTGATCTTTGATCCATCATCGACCTAATCAATCTCTTAAACTTGATCAAGAATGATAAGGGAACATAAAAATGAAACAAAAGCCAAAAAGGTCGCAAGAATCATGTGTTTTTTGTTATGATTATCGTGCCTGTAAGCTCTTTCGTCATCACCTCTTAATCTTTATATTCAGATCCAATCAGCGTATAATTCTTGTTGATTTAACTCTTAATTAATTGATTATGATTTATGATACCGGATAATATCTTGAAAAGGAGATCGCAAAGAATTATTCTTAGGCTATAACTAAATCAGTCAATAAATGGATGTCTAAAGCTTTTCATTTGCATAGAAATCTGCTCATACGTCTCTTTTGATTCCCAATTCGATGGAGACTCGACAAGAGTCCATATAAAGAATGATATGGTCAGTAAACTGTTTCTCAATTCTTAGGATCACCAAGATCGAATAAGGATTTAAATAATGACAAGTAAGAATCCCATCTTGACTCTTTAATTATTCTAATCTCATTAATTAATTTACTTATCCGAATTAAGAACCAAGAATAACTATGTAATACCCCCACCATATTTTGACCGACAATCATTTGGTTAATAAATCTAAAAATTAGTTCAAAATTAGAATATTTATATATTCTTTCATGTATGCATGTATGTATGTATGCATGCATGCATGCTCATCATCTCATAATTTATGTCATTTTCATTTTTACTAAATATTACTCTCATCATCTCTATCATCATCATCTTTGTTCTTCCATTATTGTCTTTGTCACTGTCACCATTGCAAACTTAGTTCTTTAATCAATTCTCTTTCTTTCCTTTTTTTTGAAAGAAAAAAGGATGACTTTATTATAATTTTAGTCATACTTAAATGGAATTATTTTTCTTCCTTTGGCTTGTAGTATGAAACATGTATTACGTATTGAAAAGGACTAAAACTAACTCTTTTACGGTTTTATATTAAAAGGTTTTTAGGAGTAGAATATACATGACATTACATATATTATAAAATAAGCTTCTTAAGTGATGATTCAAGAAAAAAAATAAAGTGTTCATAATAATTTATAATATTAATAAGACTTCATCAATTCCAAATTATTAATTACTGATTTGTTTTGGTGTCCATAATTCTTAGCTTACTACTTGATTCTTAGGTATTTTAAACATGGTTGATGTTTTAGTTTTTATTGTATATATAAAGGTCGAATTCATTTAAAAGAAATGCTAAAATGTTTGTAACGGTATTTGAAACTCGTCGTATATATTTTTATCTATATATTCAGATAATATTGTGATATTCTTCTGTAGTTATACACAATTTAAGTTGAAAATGGTGGTACTGAGAACTAATAAAGTTTGAGGACTATGTGAGATCTACTTCTCACGATTACTAATAAATGTAGTCATTAGAGCTTTTACTTGATTGATAGTTCCAAAGTCTCAAGGGATTAGTTGAGGTGTACGCAAGAAACTAGCCCAGATAACTTCAATCATTAAAAAGAAACTAATAAAGTTTGAGGACTGGGTGAGATCCATTTTTCATAAAATCTTTGAAACAAGTTCACATGTGGTGGTAAAAAAACAAAGGACTAATTTTTTATTAAGTTTGTTGCATGAGAATTTAATTAATTATCTTTAGGTTTAATTGCACCGTAACAAAATATTATTTCTTGGAATGTTCATATTTATGCCTTGTACTTGTTTGGCATGTTCAAACACATTAATGAAAGTACATAACTCTGTTTATAATATGTTAATTCAAAAGGTTTAGGGCATTTACATTATTATTATTCAATTGGTTAATCAAAGCACTTGATTCAAACTTGGTTAACATGAATTTGACAAGAACTTACATTCTCTATTTTAATATGACCATTACCACCATCACCCCCTCATGGTTTAATATGGATTAATTTCAAACCACCCCTAAGGCTTTAGAAATTACCAGTGGTCGAACATTAAAAAGGGAAGATGCTGAATTAACAGTGGAAGGGAACTTCACACTATCTATTAAGGGTAAAATTGGAATTTTATGATGACTTAATTAAGATTATTATACATTTCAACCAACAATCAATCTCGACAGAAGTTCTTCAACTACTCTGTTGATGTATATAAGTAGTTATTTTTCCTATAGATTCGGATAAGAAATAATTAGTAATTTAGGATTGGAGGGCAGTCCAAATCACCTAACAAACCCACATAGATATTTCAATTTGTTCTCCCCACTTCTAATTTATCACAAACATACACCCATAAAAATACATAAATTGATCATCACCCTAATTATATTTATATAAAATTAACCGAAACTTCAGTTCTAGTCATTGGCCTCCCTTTCCTTTTCCTCCCCGAACTGTTTGGTTTAATAAGACCAATAATTTTGGGTCATTATCAATCCTTTATTAATATCTGACGGTCCTCATGTTATAACCATGGTCCCACTGTTACCATATTTAATTTCTAATCATAAACCCTAATTTATTGTTACGTCTTATCATTTCCTCTAAACATCAATCATTGTCACAAAAACGTTTATGGCTTGCAATTAAATGCACCTTACTCCTCACTATCTATTTAAACAATTAAAAAGGTTTATATGTTTCACACTGCATCATCAATAATGCGGATCCTTTGTAATTCCACTAATTTATTTGTGAAAAAACCATTAAAACGACGTTTGATTAAATATTCCTGAATTCGTATTGGAAGGGTAAGGACAAGGCGATTCCGTTGTACCATTTTGAGAGCCAAGTCTGACTAGGTAAATGAACTTTAATCAAGCAAGATATACAGTAAGTAATCGTGAATCATCACCCTCCATCTGGCTATCTAGATAGAGGATAATGATGAAGATTACTATGAATCTATGATCGGAAAACTCACGCTACCACTCCTTACTCAGATTCAAATTCACACCCGCTTTCGCAGCCCACTTAATCAAACGGCCGATATTCCTGGGAGTTGCCTCCCCCAAACTGAAAATTCCCGCTCCGCCACGTTGCACTTCCTTATTTTCCATTAAACAAGAAATAACATACTTTAAACTTTTATTTCTATTATTTTAAAATATTTTTATCTGTCACAAAAATAGATAATTTTAAACTTATCTTAATTAATTTTTGACTAGGTAAACAGCACATTTATAGTTTGCAAGTCAGGGTCAAGAATAATATAAATATATTTTATTAATAAGAATAATGTGAAAAAATATTATTAATATAATATTTTAAATTATCAGAAAAAAGAAATTATTCCTGTAATGTTCTGAATTATATATTAAATCCGTTAAAAAGAAGAAACAGAAGCAGACTGTACATCAAAGTTTGTCATGAAACACCTGATTACGAAGGAATAGTAAAAATGGGACCCAGTTGAGGTTGCATGGCCATGATATGATGGTGATGATGTTGACGATGATCATGGATGGAACATAAAAGGAGAGAGATAGAAAGAGGTAATGATTATAAATGGGGTCATGATGGCAACGCCTGCTTCCGTATAAATTATGATTAAAATCCAACGCTAAAATAAAAATCTAAACCAACTTAAAACAACGCCCACAAGACTGCGCAGCCACAGCCGCCATTTCCTCTTCCTTTTTATTTTCTGATTATTAATAATTTCTATTTATTAATATATCATAAATTATAATCATAACTCTGTTTGTACTGCTCAGAAAGATTAATAGACAGAAGGACAGAAGAAGAGATAGGGACGCCAAAAAGCACTGAATTAAATAGAGAGAAAAAGAAATTAAAAAAACAGTTGAGATTCTAGAGAGAGAAAAACAAAACAAAAACAAATAAATAAATAAATAATAAAGGCGTGAAATCATGTATATATGGGCATCATAAGAGCACTTGAACCTCTGCGATGGTGAAGTTGATCTACTCACCACCTAAGAGAAGAGAAGAGAAACAACCCTTTTCAAATCCTATTCAGTATTTCTATCTTTGTTTCTCGAATTTCGAAGTCTTGCTTAATTCAGACGTTATTCAGGCTAATTAGCGGCCTTGAAAAAGCTGCTCATACAACTTCTTTCCCTCTATATAAACCTCTACTGATCTTGAGTCGACAGTCCAACACTTGACAACTTTCTTCTCTTTTAGAAGTGACTAATATGATTATGAACGTGGAGAACACTTTAGGAGTAGTGGTGAGGGTGAGGGAGTTTGATCCAAGCAAAGATGGATTAAGCGTTGAACAAGTGGAGAGTAGATGTGAGGTTGGTCCCAGCGGCAAACTCTGTTTGTTTACCGACCTCTTGGGTGATCCTATATGCAGGGTCCGCCACTCTCCTGCTTTTCTCATGCTGGTACTACTGCCCTGTACCCTCTATTCATTACTTGTCTTCTCTATTGTCCTTTTCTTTTCTATTTTACCGTCTTTTCATCGTCCATAACTAAAACCATCATCAAAGATTCAAAATCCATCTTTAACAATATTACTACGTACTTCTTTTAAGTTTTAACTTAAAACTCTAATAATTTGCCCTGCTTTTAACACCCATTACTAAATTCTGTTTCTAATTTGTTTGTTGTTTCGCAGGTGGCTGAGATAGGTGATGAAATAGTTGGCATGATAAGAGGTTGCATCAAGACCGTTACATGTGGCAAGAAACTCTCTCGAAACGGAAAAAACAATAACAATGATACTATCAAACCTCTCCCTGTTTACACCAAACTCGCCTACATACTAGGCCTTCGCGTCTCTCCCTCTCACCGGTATTCTACTTCACTCTCACCACTATTCAAATGTTGGACATATGTAATTTTAATAGAATAATGCTAATATATACTTTTATTTTATTTTATTTCTTTTAGGCGGATGGGAATCGGTTTGAGGCTTGTTAAAAGATTGGAGGAGTGGTTTAGAGAGAGAGGCGCTGAATATTCATATATCGCCACCGAAAACGACAACGACGCTTCCGTCAAGCTCTTCACCGACAAATGCGGTTACTCAAAGTTTCGTACACCGTCTATCCTGGTCAACCCGGTCTACGCTCACCGAGTTACTGTTCCGAAACATGTGACCATCATTCAAGTAGGTGCTTCCGACGCTGAGCTCCTATATCGTAGAAAATTCTCCACCACCGAGTTCTTCCCTCGTGACATTGACTCGGTGCTCAAAAACAAACTTAGCTTGGGCACCTTTTTGGCAGTACCACGTGGCAGTTACTCACCAGAGTCGTGGCCCGGGTCGGATGCGTTTTTATCAAACCCGCCAGAGTCGTGGGCGGTGATGAGTGTTTGGAACTGTAAGGAAGTTTTTAAACTTGAGGTACGTGGCGCGTCACGGGTGAGGCGTACACTGGCTAGAACGACGCGGATTGTGGATCGGGTTTTGCCTTGGTTGAAAATACCGTCTATACCGGAGCTGTTTAGACCGTTTGGATTACATTTTATTTATGGTTTAGGTGGCGAAGGCACACGCGCAGTAAAGTTGGTGAAAGCGTTGTGTGGCTACGCGCATAACTTGGCTAAGGAGAGTGGGTGCGGCGTGGTGGCTACAGAGGTGTCAAGTGGCGACCCGCTCAAGTTAGGAATTCCACACTGGAAAGTGTTATCCTGCGCCGAGGACTTGTGGTGCATTAAGAGACTTGGGGAAGACTACAGTGATGGGTCTGTCGGTGACTGGACTAAATCACCCCCTGGATTGTCCATTTTTGTTGACCCTAGAGAGTTCTGAAAAGAAGCTGAAAAAAAAATTAGAGATGAAGAAAAACACATTAGAAAAAGCCTTTTATGGAATTAGTAGTTTTTTTTTCAATTTTAATTTTCTTTTAATGTCTTAATTAGAGGCTTTAGTGATACGGGGAAGAGAAAAAAGGAAGAATGAGAAGATATAGATTTTTGATGTAAAAGATGAAAGAATATCCCCACTTTGTTTTATAGGAGTATTTTCTTTGGTTACTTTTGTAAATGGAAGTGGCTTTTTAGATCCTCTTGTAGCCAAACGTAGCCTTAGTTTTATGTGGGAAATGATAATCTTTTGGGGCCTGTCTTTTTACTTATTTTATCCACCTATCTACAGCTCTAGTTGGTTCTTGGATGGATATGACAAATCCTGTGTAATCAGAATATCCCCTTCAAGGTTAATTATAAAAGAAAAAAAAAAAACAGTTTTTCAATGGACCTTTTGACCCGTATCATTTCCCCTTCGATTTTATGCTATCAATGCATTTAATAACAGATACTCCTTTTATCTTCACTCCCTTTAAATCCAATTCCTTAGGATCTCTCTATTTAAATATAGTGGAGAATAAATTTTATTTTACACTGTTCTTATCACCGTTAAATAAATAAACTATTTTAAGGTTTATCAAATAATAGTGCCAAGGAGGGCGAAGATGTAAATAACATAGGGTCCCTTGGAGTGTATGGCACTATGGGAGGAAGTTGTGTTTGGCGGTGCACAGGGGATTCTCTTGCTTTTTATAATTAGTTTGATAAAATTGTTTGGAGATTTCTGTTCAAGTATTTGTTTGATTGTCTTTTCATTCAAAAACCTTTTTTGTTCGGCTTCCACTATGGACCAGGGCTCAAGGTTCCGGGATTGTGACGTTTTTTTAATTAACAAAATTTCCTCAATTATTTCGTCACACAAAACTACAAAATGCAAGCCCACTTATCTTTTTTCTTTATTTATAAATTATTTTGTCCCATTAAATAGTGTTGTTCGATACCATACTTGATTGATTAATTCTACTAAAAATCTAGCAGTTGAAAAGTTATTAAGTTATTTTTCCGTTTATTGAAAACGGCTCTAAATAATAACGATTATGGACCTCTCAATTAACATTATATTCTGAATGTTCACTTCGCAAAAATTGTGAATTAGTAAAGTAGGTGATTCATTTACCAAGTGAATAAGAGGCCTTCACGCTCACGGGGCCTCACCACTTTAAACATCATATGAATCACGACGAAGAAGAAGAAGAAATTGGGACAGTTGAAGCAACAAATTAATGTGACTCTTTAAATACCGCATCTGCTCTAACTTTTAATTACTTCAAATGTTCTAGGTTTACCATCTTTTTTTTAATTATAAATATACTTTTTGGAATAAAAAAAGAGTTATTTTTGGTGAAAGGGTACTACTCTTCAGGGAAAATAAAAACAAATATATATAATTTTGAAATATAAACACTTTCTGAATTAGAAAAAAAAGAATACTTAAAATAGTAAGAGTACTTAATAATTTTGAGTAAACGACTTTTTCCCACCCAAGTTTATTGCAATGACACTTTCCTACTCAAAAGTTTTAAAATACTATTTTACTATCTAAATATTATGCTTTATTAATAATTTATGTTAAATACAATGATATTTATTGTGAAGACGGAAATACCCTTTGTTATGCCTAAAAAATATAGGGCTAACGTAAGGCCCAGTCAGCGTACAAAAGTCAGAACATGGGTACACCCGTAGCCTGCTTTTGTTAGAATAGTGGGTGCGCGCTAGACCAGCCAGAAGCTGTGGTGATCCTACGTGTTCAATCTCTGCGCCAAATCGCGTAAATCACTCTAGAAGGTGGGCAATGTGACATAAAGAAAGATTTGCACAGATAATCCCACCAACTCACAGATTCAATAATCATAATCTCAAGTACTCCACTATAAATAGAGAGCTCCTCTCTCATTTAGGGGATTGACTCATTTCACTCTTGATTAGCTATTCTCTCTACAATTTAAAGCATTCATTCGCTTGTACTATCACTTGAAGGTCAGTCAGCTCATGCGACCTGACCTCTATCATTAATAAAATAACAATGGACGTAGGATTTACTTCCTTAGCATCCGAACCACTTTAAAAGTTATCCCAATTGCATCTACTCTCATTCTCCTTTACATTCACGTGTGTCTTCTAAGCCAGCTCAGCGTTTCACACGTGCATTTCGTTGGTGTCAAAATTACGCATCAACACCCTTCTTTCTTCTTCTTCTCGTCTCTTCTTAGCTTCCATCATGGCGAGAACCACCACCAACTCCACCTCCTCCTCCACCACCACCACTACCAATACCACCTCTATCTAGTCTAATTTTTTTGATTAGTCAACCCACCATTCAATCAATAGTCAAAACAAACACAACTCTCTAAAATTTGACGATAGGGGGTCATCGGCATGCGTGCACGGGTAGTCGTGCAAGCAAGTGTGACGCACACAGGCATGGGTTGCTAGAAATTGGCTTGGGAGTTTCGTCGAGTAGTTGGTGGGCATGGCTTAGAGTTTTATAAATCCGACAATGAGGGGTCATCGGCGGCTAGAAAAATCAAATCCACACACACAAAGCACTTCTACAACTTCCAGTTTCAAGAATCAGCCTCCAAAATGCCTTAATTTCATCATACGAGCAAAAACCCCAATTTCGCGAAGAAAAAAACCCTAGAGAGGAGGGTGGCGATTGGCGAGTGAATGGTGTTGGGTTGTTGAGGGTTTTGGAGAGAGGGTGCTGGTGAGAAAATCACGAGAGTGGTTTTCAGTGAAAGAATCGACCAGAATTAGCAAAATTGCGTGGCCGCAACAGTGGGCTATGTAGCCGACGATTGGCGGGATGAACATGGAGGGGAAAAATGGGTTTCGTTTAAGAGGTTAAGGGGAGTGTTTTGGTGTGTTAGGGGCAGTTGTTGATGCCAGAAAGGGCTGATAAGGCCTGGGTTGGCTGTGACACACAGTGGGGAATTTTGTGGAAAAAAAGTTTGATTTCGGCCAGATCTTGGGTAGATTTGCTAGGAACGGATCAATGGATGAAACAGGTGAAGGGATCTATCTATTTGGTGAAGAAATCGACAAAAAACAACACCCAGACGACCGACGACGACGCTGGCAAAGTTGAGGTTATGCGGAAAATAAAGAGATTGAGTTGATTTGGGTGGTGGTGGGGGGTTTTGTAGAGTAGGTTAATTGACCATCCCGTCTTTATTTATAACGGACTTTTGAAAATCCTAACCTTCTTCACAACAAAATTTACTAATGGAACTGTGTTTTGAGTAGTAAAGTTGGTATTTGGAAACTTATTGGGTAAGAAAGTATCATTAAGGCAAACCATGGGTGGGAAAAAGTGGTTTACTTTTTTTAAAAATTAAATTTTATTTTTGTAATACATAAAGCACTTAAAAACACTCTCAAATACATATTTATGTGATATTTGAGTTGAGAATGGGGGTTTTGGCTAATTAATCATGGTTACTGTTTTAATGGTTGATTTATGGTGAAAGCATCATTGATTGATTAAAATAGAATTTACTACCTTATCTTATCATATGGTAGAAAGTTAATGGTCCTAGTTCATGCGTTAATGATATCAACTTTTCATTCAATAATAAACATATATTTAAATAAATGTGGCATGCATCAACATCGAATTAAGACTGAAATTGATACCCATTTCTTAATATTTAACCAAATTATATTTAAACATCAGAATTGCTTTCTATTTCCACCATGGATTCATTCATCAAAAAATTCCACATTCACTACATATTCACTCTCTTTTTATAGTGGACTTGAAACTTGATACTTTCAAGTTTCAACAATCATTTTCATTCCATTTCCTAAATTTTTAACTCTTTTTTAGCTTATCATATATTTTAAATACATATCTTTTCATCTATTTTTTTGATAGTCAAGACTCTCTCAATTAAATTATTTATGATATTTTTTTTTTATTTATACAAATTAAAAATTGAAAAATGCATTAACAAATAAAAGGGAAAAAAGAAAAAAGAAAAAGATTAGGTTATTCTAAAACTAAAGTTGAAATTAGGCAAGTAGGTGGTGTGAAAGTGTTAGGCAAGTTCTGACTAAAGTAGTTTTAATGGATGCCAGTTAAACTAAGCCTAATTATAATTAATTAACTTATAACATTAACACAGGTATGAAAGCTCGCTAATATAAGCTTTTATAATAAAAGATGTTCCCCCCGAAAATGGGTACCAATAAAAAAGTTCAATATTTTAAAGTTTGAACGGATTTGATCACTTTGGTTAATCTCCTTTCCGAGCTGACTACAAAATATGGTGGTTTAGGTATGTGGACGGTGGAGGAGATATTAGTATTATTGGCAAAGAAATTGTAGTCAAATCAAATTTGGGCTAACTTTTTTAACTTTTGCTTTGAATAGTCAATTAGTCAAGTCCTAAAGTGGATTATCTTTTAACATTCATTATACATATTAGGATTTAATCTGTTAGGTAAGTGTTTTATCATCTCAAGGAAAATGTTTATCAAGGCATCTTTTGGTTTTGGGGAAGTCCACTTGACTTGACTCAAAACATTGCTTTTCTCTTTCAGTTCATTGAGATTGAACAAACGCATTTCCTCTTGTTTTGCCCCAATCCTTACATTTAGTCGATATTTATGGTTACTTAGATAGTGAAATGGGTTGATTATTGACTGATGTGGTCTTTTGAATTTCAAGTAAAAAAAGAATAAAATTAGAGTTAGGTCTAACTGTATAAGAAAGAAACCATTATCCAAACACCTTGAAAGCAATTATAATCAGCCAGCAAAAAGAGATGATTAATATAAGCTTAGTGGTAAAAAGTGAACGTGGAATAAGCCGTAAACTAGTCTATATATATATATATATATATATATATATATATAATCCTTATCTATGCACATAACGTTACTCCCTTTCTATCGAGGATGGAATAAACAATTTCTCATTAAAAAAAAAAGGGCTCAGGCCCAGCCATAAAATACATTTTGACAGGTAGAAGTGAAGATGAAGCCCAAAATTTAAGAAGTCCAAAGACCCAAGATAAATAAAGAAGAGTTGGAAAGATGACATGACAAGGAAATATGCAAAGAGTCGCAATATCAATTTGCGACTAAACTCTATTTCAACATGGGGAGTGATTTCTAAACCCCATCTAAATGATTTGTAGCTCCCATTACTAAGTGTATGTTTGAGATCATCGTAGCCTAAGAAATAATTATTTAAGTCACCAATATTGAAAGTGGTTGAGACACCTCCAAAATCACTTAGCAAGTCTACTTTATAAGCATTATCTCCAATCCGTTCAAGAATCTCAAATGGGTCACCAGCTCTAGGTGCAAGTTTACTTTTCCTCTTAGATGAGAATCTTTCCTTCCTCAAATGAATCCACACCAAGTCTCCAGGTTGGAAATGGGCTGGTTTTCTATGCTTATTAGCCATTTTCTTATATGCTTCATTGGACCTCTCAATTTGGGTTTTAATGGACTCATGCAACTTCTTCATGGCATTAGCTTTCTCCTTGGCATCCAAACTAACCTGAACATCAATGGGCAATGAAGATAGCTCAATCAGGGTGATGGGATTAATACCATATACTACCTCAAATGGAAAGTGATTGGTTGCGGAACTAGGAGACCGATTGTAGGCAAATTCAGTATGAGCAAGCTTGACATCTCAATCCTTCAAATTCTTGTTCAACATGGTTCTAAGAAGGGTTCCCAATGTGCAGTTTGTCACCTCGATTTGGTCATCGGTTTGGGGGTGATGAGATGTACTAAACAACAACTTGGTTCTAAATTTACTCCACAAAGTCCTCCAAAAGTGGCTAAGGAATTTAGTATCTCTATCCGACATTATACTCCTTAGAACGCCATGCAAACGTACAATCTCTTTGAAAAAGAGGGCTGCCATATTAGAAGAATCATCAATTTTATGGCAAGGAACAAATTGTGCTATTTTTAAAAACCGATCAACTCCCACCATTATAAAATCCTTCCCTCTTTGTGTCCTTGGCAATGGGACTATGAAGTCCATGTTTAAATCCTCCCAACGCTGATCCAGAATCAGTAGTGGAGTATAATGGTCCGGTTTGAAATGACTTTTGGCCCTTTGACAAGTTCCACATCTTGACACATTTGCTTGCTGATGTGTGTGTTGGTTCACATGCATATTTAGCAAGCGCACTAGTCACACAAGTAATAAAATGATGAGAAGAGTATCGCTCCACAAAGATTGTGTGCTACTTATAGAATTCTCTATTCTATTACTAATTGAAGCTCATAAAAATTGGACTACTGAGAGACAAAACAACTAAAAAAGAAAAAAAAAGAAAAGAAAAAAAAAACTATTATCAACTGCTAAAATTGTGAATAAAACTAAACTAACTCCAACGGAATATGCTCACTTAAGACAAAGAAGTTAGGGTTTATAAATTCACCAAGCTACTCAAACCTAACCTATGAATCCTGTTAATCCAAGTTCTAAGGTAATGATTAAAAATCAAACACCCTAAAGTGTTTGGCATTCCCTCTTGGGTTATTGAAAGATGGAATACATGGAGAATGATGCATGTGATACTATAACATGTATAGTCATATTTTGCAAAAAAAAAAATCAATCAAATTGAAAACAAGTAAGGTATAACTTGTTACCTCAAGTCCTTAGCAACCTTGGAGACTTTTAATGAGAAATTAAACAAAAGAGTATCCACACTAAGGTAAAAGAAGAATTAGGCCAAGAGAGACATTTAGGGTTCTTAGAAATTTTGATCTCTACCCTAAAATTGATATATCATTTTCTTTATATATGTAGCCTTGTAAACAATTCAATAATTGTTTTGGACTTCCTTAAACAATTCCATAATTGTTTTTGGAGTTGCAAATAATTCCATAATTATTATGAAGTTGTTAAACTTCTTTAAATAATAACATTGGATTAACATTTAATCACAATTAACAATTTAACTCTTAAATTGTTTACATAACAATTTAACCCTTAAATTGTTTACAATTACAACCCCTTGTAAAATCCAATTTAATATAAAGAAAATGATTAATATAAATAACTTTATTACCTTTGGTAGGTGCTAGCCAACCTTGGATAATCAACTCTCTTTGGCTATTTCTTCATTCTCCTTAGTTTTTATGTGTGACCTCTTAGGTTCACTGTGGCCTAGCCGTGGGCCCAATATCACAGACTATTTCGATATGTTTTGTCATAACTCTTTATGAACAAAACTCCCACTGATTATGGTAGGCATCTAGCAATGCTCCATAACCCCTAAGTCACAATGAAGATATACTCCAACGAACCTTTTACAATCATACATGTTGTATAATCAAATCCTTCCGTTGTCTAATCCCAATTAAGAATGGATTCATGGTATGTCAAAATCCTTATCTTAATTTTAATTCAATACATATGGAACGTGTCACCATGAAACAACCTTTCATGTAACATTTTATATACCCCGGCCGGAGATTTCCCTTTTCCAATGTATCTTGACATTTGTCTAGGAACTTGATATCAATCTATACCAAGTCAACGGATCCCATCTTGACTATCACTTGTCCTCACACATAAATAACACATGGCCAAATCGGCTTATTAACACATGACATGATTAGCCTCGTGTTTATACATCATATGAACCATATGCGTTTATGCAGAATCCAACCGTGATATTTGAGGTCTAAGGATTAATAATACACTAGTACGATCTTATGATAAATCATTAAGTACATTTTAAATGTCCATGTGATTCATCATAAATGGTCATATTTGATAAATAGTTCACTAACCGCTTATCCATGCTAATACCCCAGTGATATAACTTTTATAATCACCCACACTAATACTATCACATGATATTCTACGGAGCATTCTACATGCCACTATGTAATTGTAATACCCACATTCAGAAATATGGTAGGGATTATTATAGTCATAGTGAATATATTTAACTAGTTTTATAGAGGAATTCCATAAAAGTTTCAATAGGGGCAAAATGGTCATTTCACACAGAATCATGTGTTCAAGTGAAAAGTGAGTATGATAAATATAATGTATTAAGTATGCTAGCCATGAGAATAGAGTGGTAGAAAGATTATGGAAAATACACGTGGTGTGATGCCAAGATAAATACGTGTTCGTAAAGTAATAGAAAGAAATTAAAGAATAAGGGTAAAATGGTCTTTTCACTCACAACTAGATGAAAGAGTGGGGAGTGAAAAGGACCAAGAACATGTGTTAAATCCATTGAAAGTGAGGGTATATCAGTAAATGCACGTATTACATAATTGGAATTATCATAAAAGTTTAAGGGCAAAATGGGAATGTATATATATTTTATTAGTTATAACGCTTTAATTGACAAACCGTAGCCATTCTCACCCTTGAGCACGTCACCTCTCATCCATTTTCTCTCAAGCTTCTTCATCAAATTTTAAAGTGAAATCATAGGGTTTAGCTTAAATTTTTGTGGATTTTCAATCCTAAAGCATCCAAAGGTAAGAATTTTAGCAAAAGTTTGTGATTTGTGTTTTATAAGTATGAGTTCTCATGAATTTATGTGTTTTAGCATGAATCAATGGAGCAAGTGAGCAAAGGAAGCAAAGAAAAGGATTCTTGCAAGAAAAAGGTAAGTAAACCCAATCTAAGCTTTAATTTGAGTAGTATATGTGTAAGTTGATTCTTGAGTGTTTGTGTATGATGTGTGATAAGAAGTATTGGCTGTTTATATGCTTGTTTGATGGAGAATAATGTGTAGAAGTTAAGCCAAAGAGAGATGTGGGTTTGATTACCAATTCCTTTGACTACAGTGGCATGTGCTAACAACCACGAAGTCATTTGTTTCTTGAAGCACTTCTTCTTCTGTTTGTTATATTTCACTTTGTGAGACAAGAGCATATCATGAGAAGGTCAGTGCATGAGAATTAAGGATCATTTTTATCCATTTGAAAAGATACCGCAAATTTTTGTGGTTATCTTGAATTTCCTCACATCAAACAACCAACCTGGAGGTATTTATCAGCTCAGACCTCAAAGCTTAATTTGTGGGCCTGATAATGCTATAATTCTATGTAAGATGGTTATCATCAGAACCGCTTACTAAATATATAATAATAAACCTATTAATTGACATGTAAGTGATGTCAAATGCTACAATCGAAGTCTTTTACTTTAGGATGTACTTAAGAATATTAGAAGTCTGTTTGATTTAGTTCTCTTTTTTACTTTGCCATATAAAGGTAAAATTATGGCTTTTAGATTTTAACAATTCAAGAGTTTTTGTAATACTAATTTATTCAAGTGTTTGAATTAACTATGAGAATTTGAGTGTATCAGAAGCTTGAGGCTGAAGAAACAGGAACCAAGGAGCCTGTCACAACAGAAAAACATTCTTTTAAGAGCTTGGTTTTTGACAACTGTCCTGGTAACTACCGTGTAGTGGAGAAGTTCTCGGAATAAAAACCAGAACTATCTCGTACCACTCTCTTCCCTCTTATCATACCCACTCCTCCTAAAAATAATACCCACCAAATTTCACAAGTAAACCCAACTGTCTTTTGCTTCACTTGCCCTTGACCTTTTTCCCCTTTTTATTCTTCTTCTCTTTCGTTTTTTACCCGTTAAAGTACAATATTTGTTGTCTCTCTCTTTTTCTTTCCTCTACTTTTTGGTCCATGTAAATCGTCATTACCAGCTTTAACTGTCAGGGTTGTCTCCTTGCGGAAACTTGTTTCAGCTCTTCATAGTCTTGGAACAGCCCAACAAGTGACGTGAAGTTTCCACCATGTTTTGCATCTTGTTTGGGTGGCGAAGAGCTTCTAAATGGTGAACTTAATATAAGTTCGAGAATTTTGGCTGTGATTTATGATTTATGGGGTGTCATGTTCTTATTATTATGTTTGCATGCGTAAATGTTTTGTTTTTGCAGTAAGAAGCTAATTAAGCAGCTCCAGTACCGTCTCAAGCTGCTGAAGAACAAGAAAAGTTCGATTGTGAGATTTATACGCGAGGACATGGCTCAGCTCATCCAAAATGGCGATGAAGAAAAAGCCTTCAACTTGGTACGTTTTATTGCAATCCCGAGTTTGAATTCTATCCTTAACAGGAACTTGTTTCTTTCATTTTTTTTCTTTTTTTGTCTGTGAAATCTTACAAAAAAATCTTAATAGTTTGTACTCAACATGACTATTCTGTACCAAACTTAATTTGATCCTTAATCTCATTTTTCAGGCTGAGCAGCTCTTTAAAGAGGAGAGCAGAATGGCCGTATATGAGTTGCTGGACAATTTCTGCGAATTCATTCGAAGTAACTTGTCATATATCCGCAAAAACAAGTATGGACAATTAAAGCATTTCTAAGCTTTAAAGTATTTTCTTACTCTTGCCATATATGGCCTTAAATGAACTAAAAGGAGCAATATATTTTCAGGGACTGCCCGAATGATATCAATGAAGCAGTTTCAACTCTTATATATGCCTCCTCAAGATGTGGTGATCTTCCCGAGCTTTGTAAGATACGGAAGCTCTTTGAAGAGCGCTATGGTCAGAGATTTGCATTGGCTTCGGCTGAACTATTTTCGGGAAATCTTGTGAATTGTCAGGTTGTGAGATATAGTGTTTTATAACTTAAAGTAGTTCTAATAGTTGTTTCTGTTTCTTTATAAATTGATTTTTTCTTTTTATTGGGATGTTTTACTAATGCAAATTTAATAACCATGTTTCTTCAGATAAAAGAAAAACTCTGCATAAATTCGGTTCCCGATTATGTAAAGCACAAATTGATGGATGAAATAGTTAAGGATCACTGCTGCCAACCTGGGATTTTGGCCATTGAATATACTTCTGATCTGGTACAGGTAATAATTTTACTTCTATAGTTTGGGTTGAAATAAATGTTTGATGTTCTAAACAAGAATGTTCACATCTTTTATGTCATGTATCCACAGGTGGAAGGAAATGAAAGTTCAGATGCAAACAAGATACATGACTTACAAGTTGATTCAGAGTTAACTAGGGAGACCAAATCAACCGGACTAAATCAATCTCACTCCCACCGAAATTCTGATGCAAATGGTGCTTCCCTTAGTTCTTCCATCGTTCAGAAATCTTCGCCAGATATGTTTGAGTTGCCGGAGCATAAAAATGCAGGGAAAGTGGGAGATTTTGCCCAATTTGATTCTCCATTTGAATTCAGAGTTGCAGTTGATCTTGGTAAACAAACGCACAGCAGTGGCAGGATTAGTGCTGACCCTAAAGAACACAGGGAGGAGAGAATAATTGCAGCATCTTCTTCAGAAAGTTTGTCTGAGTTTGACGAGGAAAAGGTAGTCTATCTTGATGACATAGAGGAGCTTCAGACTTCCACGCCAAAAGATGGAGACTGGCAGGACCAAAGATTGTTCAAGTTCAAACCATCTGTCCAGCCAAAGACAAAAACAGTAGAAAGTTATATAGATCAGTATGACACATGGAGTGAAAATTCAAGTTCAAGGAGTTCTAGAAAGAGTGCAAAGACAACTAGGAAACAATCAAGGAGGAGATCATTCTCTCTAGAAAACTCTAACATAAAGGATACAGAATGTAAAGCTTACTATGATAAGCCGCGCAAGAGTTCTAGTAGCAAGCACAGATCTCATCATCGGAAAGAGCATCAGAGGAAGACCTCAGTAGAAGAAAGCACGCGATCATGTTATGGACAGGAGGGACTTAAGCAGGCATTTTGCAAAGATGTGGGAAGAAAGTTTCAATCATTCAATTACAACAACTATGACCAAATGAAATTGGGTCATTGTCATTTAAACTGCGAAAGGGATGACTGCAGTTTGGAACATTCAAGTTATTTTTGTATTGGTGATGACAAAGAATGGGAAATTCCACGTAGTAAGTTGCAGACAGGAGCCATAAAACCAGTGAAGGTGGCAATTTATGATCTGAAAAGTGCAAATTTTGGTGATCATTTAGGCCAGTGCCACTTCTCTCATCATAGAAAATCAGAAGAAATAGAAAGGCCTGCTCTTCATCAAAAGTCAAGGAGAAGAACCTCTGACAATGGTGCAACTGAGTATAATATTTTCACCTACCACCAAGACCGCTGGCAAAATGAACAGGTTCAAAATACTAAAGCAAAAGCTGATTCTCCAGGTGGATGTGCTGATTCCAATAGCTTAACTTCCAAGCCCACTACAAAAAGACCAGAGGCCTCTTATTTGACCGTGAAGTCAATGCCTACAGAGAGGCCTACAACAAACATTGTGCGGAGCAATTCATTACCTTGCGAATATCCTGAACATGTCCATCCGAAGTTGCCAGACTACGATGATATAGCAGCTAAATTCACGGCTCTCAGGAAAGAGCGTCTGCAGGACAAGCAGCAATAAAGCAACTAACAAAGACAGGACTAGTTTCTTCCATTTTCTGGGGGCAATTCCAATACCCTATTGTTAAATTGTAAGAGCTTCCTATTCATTTTTTAATTTTTTTTGGACATATGATTTGGACAGCCATATTAGAATGATTTGTTCTTTGATGTAAGGACTGCTTGGAAAGAGCTAAAAATGAATTTTCAGTAAATGTTCAATTCAAATATGCTGAACAGTACATTCCATTCCATTTGAAGTGAACAACAATGTATAAACATGCATCAGCCAATTCTGAAACAACAATCCTCTGAATTCAGACAGCATATGAACAACATTGAGCGTGAAGGTGAAAATATCAGAATTTCCAGAAACAAAACCAATTCCGAAAATATAGGTGCCATGGAAGTCGTGGCCCGGTTTAACAACACGATCGAGATCTGAGTTGTACCTTGGGCCTTGTCTTGTCAAAGGCCCAACATCTTTTCCCTACTTTTTACAGTTCAAATATATTATATGTATCAGCAAACACTAGAGATTTTTAATTGTTTTAATTATGATATAACAGTGTGGAACAAGGACATGCAATTAAACAAAGTTTAAAGGTTCAACTTAGTGAAGCATCTTGAATTTTATAATGGAGGAATATGGAATATGCATATGTATGGAGATGGAAGCACTATGAATAAATTATTTGATGCACTGTCATAATTCATATACATATGTTAATTAAGGTAGCGTGGTGTGTGGAGTATTCTCTCCTGTTTTCTCCTCTCCATGGTAGGTAGATAGATCTTTGGATTATGAGTTTTTCCTTTTCCACAGAAATGGAGAGAAGAAAGTGGGATACAAATATCAAAATGGACCAATGAGGTGCATTAACAAGATTCATAATGCAACCTAGTTCTAGTTGCCCATTTTCTTATTATTAATTATTACTCCCAATCCAATTGGATCCAGTTGACTTCTCCTTCCTTTCAACCCATCTTCTACTGTTCCATACGTTGTTATTTTTATCAAACTACGATTATGACATTAGGGAAAAATAAACTAACGTCCGTTTCATGAATCTTTGAATTAAGATGATATAGTATAATCTTCTATAATCTTATTTTTTTGATGCACCCGTAACAAGTTAACCAATATTGCAGCACATGTACAGCCACTACCAAATTTCTTGGGTGGTGTGGTGTGACTCTATTTTGTATTATATACGTTGGATAAATTCATTATTATTTATCCCAACAAAGATTTCAGAGTAATTAATAAAAACTATATTTTATAATGGCATCATTGGTGGGTCCTTTTTCTAGGTTTCTGCCCAATGTTTGCATGCCACCTTTCAATCACAATGTCTCTCATGTCAAACATTAATTTCCGCGTGCTCCCCACTCCTCTGCTTTTAATTATTTCTATTTCTTAAGATAAGTTTAGCTGCTGAAATATTATTATATTCTTAAGATATGAATGTCACGCGCTCTCCTTAAGGACTCTCCAGGTATAAAAATTAAAGTTGACCTTCTATAAATAGCGCTTCTCATGATCATCAAGTTGACCAAACTTTCTTCAATTCTCTTACTCTCACTGCTTATGTGATTAAGATTATTCATGCAAAATTTCAGAGACATATTAGTACTCACTTAAGATTAAAGATTATTGGAATGAAGGTAGAAGAACTCCCTATATTTTTGGGTTGTGCTTGTAATAAAACAGATATCTGGGTTTTGTTCATAATAGAATAAAACTTAGTGGAAAACGGTGCATTTTACTCTGTATTCAATGTATAAAAACATTGCTACCTTGTAACAAATTTCAGTTAGAAAAATTAGAAGAAGAAACTCGTCTTCTCTATAATCTTTTCTTTGTTTCTTGTTCTTTATTTTTCTTTGGTTAAACAAGAATCTTCATAGTATCAGAGCCTCGACAAACGTCAATGCCTACTTCGATTCCTGAAACTTCAAATGTCAGCTTGAAGATGGATTGACCAAATTAGGAATGCAAACGCATCAGGCTTAGGAGCTCACTCTTCCCTTCCAACACTCTCTGTTAAACTAGTAGAGAAGAACTATGGATATTGGAGGTCCCAAGTTCTTCCTGCTCTTGCTTCACACAATCTTGATGGCTTCGTTAATGGTGAGAATATTTATCCCCCTATGTTTCTAATTGAGAAAGTAGTTGAGACTAAAGAGTTAGTAAAGAAACCAAACCCTAGGTATTTCAATTGGAAGAGAACAAACAAATTTTTAGTGAGTTGGTTGTTTTCGTCAATCTCAGAGTCTATGTTTCGGCATGTGACCAAATGCACTAGCTCTTATAAAATATGGAATACACTGGATCTTCATTTTCAGTCTTTTTGAAGGCTAGGACATTACATTTAAGAAATCTTTTACAGACCACAAAGAAGGAATCTTTTGAGTGTTAATGAATATGTCTTGAAAATGAAAGAGCTAGGAGATGAATTAGTTGATAGTGGAGTCAATCTTAGTGATGAAGAATTGCTATTATACATATATACGTGATGGTCTAAGACCAGAGTATGATGCGGTGGTACCTAATTTGACATACAATAGTAAAGATGCAACACTTCAAGAAGCTCAGCTTATGCTTCACAAGCATGAACTGAGACTGGCAAGAGAATCTAGTGCATTGACTTTCATGAGCAATTTACTTCTGCACTAATTTCTTCTAAACAAGGGCATGTCAATTTTTCTCCACATGTGCAATCTAACACGTCAGGGACTGTGTTTCCAAATACCACACACGTAGCAAACACAAGATCCTTAAACTACCAAACTCATGAAGTTTACTCTCAGCCATAAGGTATTAGTGTTGGTTTTACAACTCAAATGTTTCCTCAGTCGACAAAAGGAATCTTGAATTTGGGAAATGGTNAGATTCATAATGCAACCTAGTTCTAGTTGCCCATTTTCTTATTATTAATTATTACTCCCAACCCAATTGGATCCAGTTGACTTCTCCCTCTTTTCAACCCATCTTCTACTGTTCCATACGTTGTTATTTTTATCAAACTACGATTATGACATTAGGGAAAAATAAACTAACGTCCGTTTCATGAATCTCTGAATTAAGATGATATAGTATAATCTTCTATAATCTTATTTTTTTGATGCACCCGTAACAAGTTAACCAATATTGCAGCACATGTACAGCCACTACCAAATTTCTTGGGTGGTGTGGTGTGACTCTATTTTGTATTATATACGTTGGATAAATTCATTATTATTTATCCCAACAAAGATTTCAGAGTAATTAATAAAAACTATATTTTATAATGGCATTATTGGTGGGTCCTTTTTCTAGGTTTCTGCCCAATGTTTGCATGCCACCTTTCAATCACAATGTCTCTCATGTCAAACATTAATTTCCGCGTGCTCCCCACTCCTCTGCTTTTAATTATTTCTATTTCTTAAGATAAGTTTAGCTGCTGAAATATTATTATATTCTTAAGATATGAATGTCACGCGCTCTCCTTAAGGACTCTCCAGGTATAAAAATTAAAGTTGACCTTCTATAAATAGCGCTTCTCATGATCATCAAGTTGACCAAACTTTCTTCAATTCTCTTACTCTCACTGCTTATGTGATTAAGATTATTCATGCAAAATTTCAGAGACATATTAGTACTCACTTAAGATTAAAGATTATTGGAATGAAGGTAGAAGAACTCCCTATATTTTTGGGTTGTGCTTGTAATAAAACAGATATCTGGGTTTTGTTCATAATAGAATAAAACTTAGTGGAAAACGGTGCATTTTACTCTGTATTCAATGTATAAAAACATTGCTACCTTGTAACAAATTTCAGTTAGAAAAATTAGAAGAAGAAACTCGTCTTCTCTATAATCTTTTCTTTGTTTCTTGTTCTTTATTTTTCTTTGGTTAAACAAGAATCTTCATAGTATCAGAGCCTCGACAAACGTCAATGCCTACTTCGATTCCTGAAACTTCAAATGTCAGCTTGAAGATGGATTGAGCAAATTAGGAATGCAAACGCATCAGGCTTAGGAGCTCACTCTTCCCTTCCAACACTCTCTGTTAAACTAGTAGAGAAGAACTATGGATATTGGAGGTCCCAAGTTCTTCCTGCTCTTGCTTCACACAATCTTGATGGCTTCGTTAATGGTGAGAATATTTATCCCCCTATGTTTCTAATTGAGAAAGTAGTTGAGACTAAAGAGTTAGTAAAGAAACCAAACCCTAGGTATTTCAATTGGAAGAGAACAAACAAATTTTTAGTGAGTTGGTTGTTTTCGTCAATCTCAGAGTCTATGTTTCGGCATGTGACCAAATGCACTAGCTCTTATAAAATATGGAATACACTGGATCTTCATTTTCAGTCTTTTTGAAGGCTAGGACATTACATTTAAGAAATCTTTTACAGACCACAAAGAAGGAATCTTTTGAGTGTTAATGAATATGTCTTGAAAATGAAAGAGCTAGGAGATGAATTAGTTGATAGTGGAGTCAATCTTAGTGATGAAGAATTGCTATTATACATATATACGTGATGGTCTAAGACCAGAGTATGATGCGGTGGTACCTAATTTGACATACAATAGTAAAGATGCAACACTTCAAGAAGCTCAGCTTATGCTTCACAAGCATGAACTGAGACTGGCAAGAGAATCTAGTGCATTGACTTTCATGAGCAATTTACTTCTGCACTAATTTCTTCTAAACAAGGGCATGTCAATTTTTCTCCACATGTGCAATCTAACACGTCAGGGACTGTGTTTCCAAATACCACACACGTAGCAAACACAAGATCCTTAAACTACCAAACTCATGAAGTTTACTCTCAGCCATAAGGTATTAGTGTTGGTTTTACAACTCAAATGTTTCCTCAGTCGACAAAAGGAATCTTGAATTTGGGAAATGGTAGATAGTTAAGAAGCAATCTTAGAGCTCCTTATCCTGCTGGTCTTCCTTAGGCCTATCCTACTAGTCCTCCTTAGGTCTTCTAAAACAATATGGTGATAGGCAGAGGCAGAGGACGCAACTACTTTAAACCAAAGCTGATATGTCAAGTCTGTGGGAAAACAGGCTATTCTGCCCTCCAATGCTATCATCATTTCGATTAGGAATATCAGGGGTTTAACTCACATACCTACAACTAGTCAGTGCATCCAATTCGCTATAACCCTCAGTCAACCCACAAACTAACCTATCTGGAAACTTTAATGAACTTGCTGCTCTTTTTGCTTACAACCATTCACCTAACACCTATTTTAACAACTCATATATTGGTCTTCATAATGCTTCAGTTTCTACTCCTACTAATCTGACTCACAGTTCTCCTTATGCTCCTAATGACATTTATCAATACTCTTGTGGAACTTCACCTATACATACAAATAAATGACCATTTCCTAATACCTCATCACCAACTATTCCAACTACACCATCCTCATCAGCCTCCGTAAACTCTTTTCAATCAACCATTG